AGGGGACTGCAGGAGGTGGGGGGAGCACACAGGGGTTCAGGGGAGGAGGGAGTTGTTGTCTGAGTCCTGAAGACAAGTGGGAGTTGGGGTGGGAGTCTTGGTGGGGACATAGCATCAGCTCACACCAAGGCCCAGAGGCAGGAGACAGTGGAGCTTTCAGGGGACTCTTGAGTGGTTCCATTTGGCTTTGGGGTGGAGGGTGGCTGGAAGACACAAAGTAAAGTGGGGAAGAGTAGGTAGTTCAACATGAGCCTGGAGAGGTTGGAGGGCAGATCACACAGGACCCACCAGGCTGAGAAACACTTTCCTGGGGATATAGGAAGCCACAGACAGGGAGTGACGTGATCGCCGCCCACTCCCACCTGCTACGATGAAGGCAGCCCTCTGACTATGCACGCATTTTCAAAATATGGTTTGGACTGTTGCTTTAAAAAAAAATTGCAACACCAATACCTGTTCACTGTTGAAATTTTGGTAAGTATAAAATAGCACATAAGAAAAATTAAAAATCACCTGTTTATCTTACCACTACTATTAACATTTGGTTATTTGCTTATAGTCCATTTTCTGTGCATGCATTATATATGTAACAAAAACAGGATTACATTCTGCCTAATGATTTGTAGACTGCTTTTTAAAAAAACATATCTTGAACATCTTCCTCACCATTAAGTATTTTTCTGCATCATTATTTTTAATGGCTGTGGGTAAGTGTCACATGCAAGTACCCTAATTTCTTTAGCCATTCCCTTATTGTTGGGCACATATGTGTCCAGTTTTTTGCTTGTATAAGTAAGGGACTGTGCGCTTTCTTACAGATGTGTTCACTTTCCTGATTATTTCCTAGATGCACAGAAGTGGAATTGCTTGGTCAAAGAGCCACATGTGATGTTTAGCCTTTTCAATATTTCCAGAAGACTGTCAGTTTACACACCCACCAAACAGGGCATGAGAGGGCCTCCTTTCTTCACATCCTCACCAGCAGTGGGAATTATCATTAAAAAAATCTTTGCCAAGTTAATAGGCAAGAAATGGCATCTCAATTTAATTTGCATTTCTTTGATTACAAGAACAGTTGAACGTCTTTTTGTGTTGGCCGTTTTTACACTGTGGCTTTGTGTGTTCACGTTCACATCCTTTCAGTAACTCCTTTGTGCCTGTGTGTCTCCTGCAAGGCAGGGCAGGGCCCTCCAGCTTAGAGGGGCAGCGGTTAGGATTAGGGGCTCTGGACCACTTATTCTCTTACCTTGTGACCTCAGGTGAGTAACCGTGCCTCTGAGCCTCATTTTGCTCCATCTGTAAATCGGGACGTGATGCCTGCCACCCAAGCTGGTTGGGAGGATTAAATAGGATGTAGTTAAGCACTTTGCTGAATTCCAGCATGAATGGGCGCTGCTGTAGGGCTGAAAGCTGCACACCCTAAGGTCCACATGTGTGAGCTGCCTGTACCTGGTGTCGGTGATGCAGCCCCCACCATCCACTCCCCTGAGGGGCAGGGGCCTAGAGGAATCACCCTGAATCAGGATCCCTGACGGTTGGGTGCTCTCAAGTTCCTCCCTGCCACTCTGACCTCAGTTTCCCCACTCATGACCTCAGGACAGGGATTTCAGCACTGCCCTCCCTCCTGTTGCCCGCTGCCCCAGCAGGAGCCATCTGCCCTGCCCTGGCATTTGGGAGGTGGCCGAAGGGCCAGACTGTGGCTCCCACCCTAGGGGGCATCTCTCAGTACCTCACATTAAAGGAAAGAGAGGCTCTTTTTTAGTGCTGGAGGAAAAGTCCCTACACGCCAGTGCTGGAGGGGCCTTCTTGGAGGAGGGTTTCTCTAGCAGGGGTCTGGGGTGTTTTCCTGCTTCTGGGTGTGAGAGGTGTCGGGTGAGATTGGGGAGCGCATGGGGGCCCCAGGCCTGTTCCTGGCCCGGTTGGGATGGAGCTGTGGGCCTGAGTGAGCCCCCCTCCTGCTCCTGAAACACAGCACCCGGAAGGTGAAATGCTGACTTGCCATATTGGTCTGCGTAACCTTGACCGGCTCTGGGCTTGGCAGAAAGGAGTGGAGTAGGAGGTCGCAAAGGTGCCAGGGGGCGGGGCCTGAGGAAAGCAGCTCCCCCTCACCGTGCCAGGCCTCCCCTGCTGGCCAGAGAGGCTGGGTGTGTGTAGGAGTAGGGTGAAAGGATGGTTTGACTACAGCTGTGAGCCTGGGTCAGAAGAGAGCAAGGGCCATTCCTGGGAGGCGGGCTGGGGAGAGGGGGAAGCTGGTTTGGGGACTGGGACTCAAGGTGGAGTTCTTTACGTGCCGCACACCATGCACTGCGTGTAGCTCAGCACACACCAGGCACTTCAGGGGAGTGGCCCAGGGCTCCCTGGGGTGACTCGGCTCAGCTGAGAGGTTGCTGCATCCCAGGCCTGCGTGTCCACCCAGGCTCCCTGCCCTGCCTTGCTTTGTGCCAGGCCCAGCTCCTTTCACATTCGAAGCACCCCACACCACTCCCACTCTGTGGCCTTTGCACCCAGCTCCCTGGGCAAGACTGCCACTCCCAGGGAGTCCCGACTGCCCTGCAAGGCCCAGCCAGCTGCCTCCCCACCCCCTTGGCCCGGGCTGGGTACAGGGTGGGGGTGCCCGGCACAAGCTGGCTGGGGGCGAGCTGCCCAGCGTTCCTGTCTGAGTGGTAATTGAAGCCATTAGCGCGCCAGCCTCTCCCTCGCCGGGTAATGGCAGGAAAAGCTCTTCTCACTCCGCACTCTTGAGGCTGAATCACTCCCCCTCCAACCCGCCTGCCGCCGCCACTGAGACAGGGAATCTGACATTTTCCCTCTCGAGGGAGGGGGAGCCCAGGGGGAGGGGAGGCAGGCCTTGCTTCCCAGCCTTTCCCTCCAGGAGGTGGGGGAGCCAGGAGGGTCTTGGAGCTCAGTCTGGAGGTTCGGGATCTGCCTGGGCCAGTGGGTTCCAGCCAGGAGGTACCGTGGTCAGGAAAGCCTGGAGGATGCCAGACAGCAGAGGTGTGGCCTGGGCCCTGATGACTTGGGCAGGTTCTGGAAGGGCCTAGGAGAAGAGGAAGGGGCAGAGGGGGAGGGAGGAGGAAGAAGGCCAAGGAGCAGAGATGAGCCATTTCTGACTTGCCTTGGAGGGCTTGGCTCTGCGGACTCAGAGTGCAAGAGGCAGCATTTGCTGTGGTCATGGATACCGCGGACAACACGCACCCGTGTTGTGGCGTGTGTGCCCTGTGGTATGTGGCGTGAGTGCCCTGTGTGCTGTCTGGAAGGCAGTGTGTGTGAGGTGTGTGATGTGGTGTTGCACTCATGGGCTGTGTGTGCCTTACGGGTTGTATAGAAAACGGGGGCTCTGCATCCGACTGTGTGTGTGCACGCGTGTGCTTGTGTGTACACACATCAGGCGGTGTGGTGTGTACAGCAGGTGGTGTATGTCATGCCGTGTGTGCATCAGACAGTGTTTATACGGGGTGCGGGCTGAACAGCAGGTGGTGTGCACCTTATGGGCTGTTGTGTATGGTGGGGGAGGGGTATGCAGCAAGCAGCCTGGGCTGAGTGTGTGCAGTGAGTCTGGTGCTGCAGGAGGCCCGAGATGTGGGACTCATTGCCTCCAGGACCCCACAGGATCCCTGCTCAAGGCTGGTGGTTGGCCAGGGCAGCTAGACAGAGATGGACCTGGGGCAGAGTGGTCAGCCTGAGCCGTTCTCAGTGCCTGAGAAACTATCCTTCAGCAGGCCGGGGGGAGGGGGCACCAGAGAGGGATCCTCCCCAGACCTTGGGACTCTCTCCTCCTCGTCTCCTCCCGGCACTGAGCCCCGGCTCCTTTCACCCGTCCCCACCTGGCCTCGATGTCTGCTGACTGACCAGGACCACACCACTCAGGCCACAGAGGCCCAGGAATCCAGGTGCCCGCATGGCGCGCCTGGTCTTGCCCCTTTCCTGGGGCATAGGCTCTGGGGGAGGCCTGCTGTCAGGCCTGTGGGGTAGTGACTGGCGGTGGGAGGCGGGCAGTCAGTGCTGGGCCAGGACCCCCAGGCTCCGTAGTGGTTTTGACCCTGGTTTGGGGACTGTGGGGTGATGAGGCCCTCTTGAGCCCCATGCCAAGCCCCTTTGAACATGAGGACTGATGAACAGCATGGACCCTGTCCTGCCATCCTGGGCTGGCTGCACCTGGAGCGCGGCCAGTACAGAAGCTCGTGTTTTCAGGGTGGGTGGATGTTTCCCCAGGGGGCCAGCTCTCCCTGCCCCACCCTCCTCCCTGTCCCTGGCCCAGGCCCGACTAGGGGGTGGGGTGTTTGGGGAAAAAGCTGTCACAGGCAGAGGACGACCGTGCCCCTTTCCTGTTGCCTGCATACGAGACCAGGTAACCGGCTTGTTCTGAGGAAGCTGGGCCCGTCATCTCCCTGATTGGCACCCACAGAAGACATAGAAAGGGCCCCTAGAACCTAGCACCTAGAACCCAGGCCAGCTTCTGCCCCTCCCCTCGCCGCTGAGGTGTGACCTAAGTGCTTCTGGCCCCGTGACCGTGGGACCTGTGACCTGTCCCTGCAGCCCCGCTGCGACTGTAGTCACATTCAGGACCGCACAGATACGAGGCTCTGAAGCCACTCCCTGGACAGATCGGAGCCCCAGACATAGGGGTGGGAGAGGTGTCAGTGGGCGGGCATTGCCAGGAAGGTCTTGGAGATCTAGGGAAGAGACCTAGAGAAGACTAGATTTCTTGGTACCTGGGTTCCCCCACTGTTTTTCTAGTTCTGATCTATCTTCAGGGGGCCCAAGTGGACCCCCTTCTGAATGGTTCCTCCTGTGGGGCGGGCAGTAGGCCTGCCTCTTCTTAGCCACAGACACTGGAGGCCTTCCCTGTGCCCAGCCTGCCCCTCCCACCCCTGCAGTCGCAGGTACTTGCAGGGCCCTGCTGTGTGCGTGGCCCCCTCGCCTACACCCCTCATCCCAGCCTCAGGATCACAGTGGAACCGGCAGCTCTGGGAACAGCTAGCCAGCTTGGAGGTTTTAAATGCCCCTGTGTGTGCACATCCTCCACCCCTGATGAGGTGTCCCCTGCCTCTGGTTGCCAGGGGAGAGAGGATTTTAATCAGGGGAATGCCTGATAAAAGGCGTGCTTCAGGAAGGTCCCTGAGGGTGCAGAGGCGGGTACCGGAAGACCAGTGAGAGGTCAGGGCAGCGGCCCAGGCAAGAGGTGGCAGTGGCCCAAACCCAGGCAGTTGGGTAGAGGAGGAAGGGAGACTGGGTTCATGCAGTTTAGAAAGCTTGCCTGGCCACCTGTGGGACTGGGGAGGCGGGTGACTCAGGGTTGCTGGCTCCGGGCCAGGTAGATGGCAGTGCCGTTTGCTAAGGTTCAGGTCTGAGAGGAGGACCCGTTTGATGGGCAAGTTGATGAGTCCACTTAGAAATCTGTTGTAGCAGGTATGTGTAGGCATCCTGGGGAGGGGTGCCAAGGAGGCCTTGTTCAGATTTTGCCTGGCACTCCAAGGAACAGCTGGAGAGACAGGGGAGAGAAATGGCAAGTCTTAGGGAGCCAGAAGACAGGAAGCGGGCCCGGATGGAGCCCCAGACGCTAGGTCTTCTATAGGGATGAGTCCCTGGAAGTCAAGAGAAAAAGAACCTGAAGGATCAGGGAGGGGTGCTGTGGAGAGGTCGAGCAAGATGACCGCTGAGACGTGGCCTCTGGACTTAGCTCCATGGAGTCATGGTTGACCTTGGTGAGCACGCTGGCGGCAAGCCATGGGGGTAGCAGCTGGGCTGCAGGGACCTGAAGAGCAAGAGGGAGGTTCTCAGTGGTCTGCAGGGCCCAGGCCAGAACCTCACGGGGGTAAAGGGACCCAGGGAAGGGTCCTGGAGTAGGACTGAGGTGGGGACCCGGGAGGAGGGTTCAGCGTGGGTCAGACCCCAGAAGCTGGAATGTGGAGGGCGCAGACCTGGGGCCAGCCCCCAGGGTCACCTGGTGGTGTGCGGCTGGGAGGCCTCACCAGCCAGGTTGAGTAGAGCCCTGGGAGGCGCCAGGGAAGTCCTGGGGAGGAGGGGATTGGGAGGGGGAGGCCTCGCGCCTGCTTGGCTGTTCTCGGCAGCGACAGGCCCCAAACAGCTCAGATTCAAAAACAAAACAGGCTTTTAAGATGCCAAGTTTGATGAAATCTGAGTGCTGGAAGAGGTGGGAGTTTTCTCTTAGAAAAAGCTGAAAATGAAGACTGAAAGCTGCGAAGGGAGCCCAAGGCTCCCCAGGCCTCCCTGGCTGCCTGGCTGCCTGGGGGAGGGGTGGGGCTCTGGAAAGGGTGGGGGCCGCAGGTCCGAGGGGCCCTTCCCGCTTGCTCAGGGGTGCCCTGACCCTGACCTTGCCAAGGGTAGGGCTGCCTCAGGGACAAGGCCTGAGGCGGCCTTGGCTCCCTTAGAGTGCCGGCGGGCTGGGGGAACCAGCAGCCGCTACCCACCAGGTCCCCTCATGCATCTCCACACATCTGCGGTTCCCGGCTCCGGCCCCACAGGCGTCTCCAGGGGACTCGCCACGTCAGCATCCGTGTTGCTCTGCATGTCTGCACATGTGTGTTTCCGCGTCTCTGCGTGCACTCCCACTGGCTCTGCTTGCGTGCGTCTGTTTCCACAGGTGCTTGTCACTGCAGGTGCCCCTCCGCACGCACATGGAGGTTTCTATTTTTGCACCTGTCTCTTTCTCCATGTATCTCTCTGTGGGGCCCTGGCTGTGCACCAATCTAGGTGTCTGCGTTCACCAACGAGGTGAGGCCAGGCCCAACACTCAGGGACACCGGGAAGGGGGTCAGGCCTACAGACGGTGCCACCCCAGGCAGCCGGTGTAAGTGTGTGTGTGTGTGTGTGTGTGTGTGCGCGCGCACGCGTGCCTGCATACGCACAGACACACCAGGAAGCTGGGTAAACACGAGTGAGGAGTTCCTGCTGACAGACGGTGCCGCCCGCTCCGGGACCCCGCGAGGCGTCTCCATCTGTCCACCTCCCTGGTGCAGCCCCCTCCCTCTGGCCCAGACTCCGCCTCAGGCATCCTGGGCTAAGCTGGACAAAGAGACCTGTGTGTGCTTGGTAGGGGGCAGCAGCAGCCTCCCTCCCCCAGTCATTGCCGCTAGCCTAGGCTGATCCCCTGTCCACCCCCACCCTAGCCTCATCCATCAGGCCTTAGTTCCAGCCAGCCTCACCTTCCCACTGTCTCCCCACCCTCCCCCAGCCCTTACTCAGGCAGCCCCTCCCTCCCTTCCCCCAAAAGCTCTCCCCTGCCACTCATGCTCAAGTGTTTCTTACTCCTGCCTTTCCCTCCTCCTTCAGGAAGCCACCAAGATAGCACTGACCCAACTGCATTGCTGCTGTGGGGACCTCAGCCAAGCTTTTGTCCGCCTCTGAGCCTTCGGCTCCCAACACCCACCCCTCAGCCCCCACACCCTGTCACCTTTCTCTGCCCAGTGAGGATGGCAGAGAAGAAGTCAGGGTTCTCACTGCAGTATCTAAAGACCAGCGTACGCACACGTGTGTCCCCAACCCAGGTACACAGATCTGTGTGGGCACACCCTGGGAATGTGTGCACCCTAACTGTGCATGCAGGCAGAATCCACAGAGAGCTGTAGAGGCTCCCCAGTACCTCTGAGGTCCACTGAAGTCCCCACGGGTTTTTCTTTCCTTCGCGGGGACCCTTTTATCAGAGGATGGACCGACCTTTGCCCAGAGGGACACACTGCAAAAACCTGGCCAGGGGGCAGGTGTGGGGACCTCCCTGCCTTGTGCGCACTCAGGGGGCGTCGATTGAGCGGGAAGGAGACGGCTCCCTAGAGTTGGGGAGTAGGGTCTTGAGAAGGGGTGCTGTGACCCAACCCAGGAGGGGACGGGAGGGGCCGGGAGGGGCCGCAGCGGCTCGGACCGCAGATGCGCGCCCCGCTTGGACTCACCAGCGCCGCCTTTCCGCCGCGGCGCCGGCTCTCTGCCGTTGCCATAGTTACCAGGCGGTCTGGAGTGGGGAGGGACCCTTCCTCCTGCGGCGCTGCGCAGCCCCGCCGCCCTCAGGATGGGTTTTGAGCGGACTCGGCGTGACCAGTGCGTGCTGGTGTTGGAACGTGAGTGCTTGCCGGCGGGTGGCCGTGTGTGGGGCCGTCGTGTTCGTTTTGCGGAAATAAGCCGCGGCGTGTGTGCAGGGAGAAACCCAGCCAGAAGCCCAGCCCGCAGAGGGCGTGATATGGGAGCAGGATGGTGGCTGGCTACTCCAGGGTCGTCCTGATCCCAGTGCCCACACCCTGCCCAATGTGGGGTCGGTCACACCACCTGGTCTCATCCCAGCCCCACCTCGACTTAACTCTGTGACCTTGGGCGGGTTCCTGGATCTCTCTGCGCCTCCATTTGCTCATATACTTTACATAGTTTCAGTAAAGATTAGATCAGTTTGCAAGGCATTTTAACGCATTACCTGGAACTAGGAAGTGCTCCATAAACCTGACCTTTATCCCTCTACTTGGGCCTCTGTTTTCCCCGTTGCTAATGGGTTTGGAGTGATCATGCGACGCCAGCTTGAGGAATTTGCCTTGGTCCTTAGCCTGAGTGGTTCAGGGTACAGTGACCCCAAGCTCCTGCGGTTCAGGGTACAGGGGTTATGTGAAGAGGATAAACGTGACAGTCTGATGGTGGGTCAGTTTACACCAGCCTGCTCAGTACTCAGCTTGGCCAGACGGGCACAGGCGTCAGTAAGCGGCTGCTGTCCTTGGCTATATTTGAATGTTCCTGGGGTTGGGGGGGGTGCTGCATCAAGTGAGTGTGGAAGGAAGAGCCAACAGCAGGTCATTCCTGAAGGGCTGGAGTCCTCCTGTGAGACATGCTCCCCCCACCAAGGTGCAGAACTGCAGCCTTCCGACTTGTGCCTGGAAGCCTAGTTGGCACAAGGGACTGGCTTTTGGGTCCCGCTGTTTTATGGACTCTTCACACATGCCGGTTTTAGGCTCTGGTGGCTATGCCTGAGGGATGATCTGAGCCAAGGACGGAGCCATTGAGGGCACAGTAATTGAGGGAGGAAAATTAATTGTCCTTAATTTGGCATGATCCCAAAGACTTTTCCCGTGTTAGGAATTCAGAGTACATTCCCAGGACACAGGGCTGCAGATGTATGTTTTTCTTCCCTTCTCCTTGATCAGCACCTTGTGGGTAGAGATGGAGGCCAGCTGACTCCTGGGCCCTAACTCTGGCAGGCCCTGCCCCTGCTTCCCTCTCCCCTGCTCAGGAGGGCTGAGCAGGTAGAATTGAGGCCTGGGAAGAACTAGACTGGTGCCCCAGTGGGCTGGGATGGCTCCCACAGCCCTGAGTGTCCCCCGGCTGTTGGGGAGTCCAGGGAGGGTGGAAGTGGACAGAGCCCTGCCTGGGCCTTCCTGGAAAAGCTAGTGGCGGCAGGACCAAAGGAAGCTGTTTTCCTGCTTGGCATATCCCAAGTCCTGCTTTCATTTCTTTCCTCCCTTTTCTTGCCACGGCTAACATTTTCCTTTTAAAAATCAGAGCTAAAAGTCAGGACACTATGGGATCATATTTACAGCCAAACAGACGCTGGGTTCATGTCTGGATTTATAGGGCTGCAGGTGGGGGTGGTGTTCTGCCAGCTACCTAGAGAAGCTGGGGAGGTGACTCCTACTGGTCCCCAGCCCGAGACCCCACCCCTTCTCCTGACAGCGCCACAGTCCCTTAGGGATGCCCCAGGCAGCTGGAGCCTTGGCAGAGCGCCCCCTGGGGTGTGGCAGCAGAGAAAGAAATGTCTTGCTCTTGCCTGCTGGGGCTCCTCCAACTTCCTCTCCTGCCTGCCCACCAGTTACTCCCCCTGGGTCTCTGGGGAGACTAGCCCTGCCAGCCTCTACCTTCCTCCTTTCTGAGGATGCCACTTGGCTTTTCCCTGGCATGGGAGCTGACCTCGGCAAACATCCCCACACCCTTGAGCTGGGCCTGCAGGAGGGAGATGGGTGTAGTGCTGGCCTCCCCCTCCACGGGGCCCCACTCCCCTATCAGGAGACTGACAAAGGACAGGGTTCCCATTCCCCCACTGGGTGTGCAGCCTGGCATCCACACTGGTGGAGAGGCTCTGCCAAATTGCCACACTAACTCTGGTTTGCTCCTGGCAGGGGGCGCCTCTCACCAGACCCAGACAGGAAGGGGGCCCCAGGCCCAAGTCTTGGTACTTGCCTGCCCCGGTGGCCCAGCCCTTGCTATTATAATAATGTCAGCCAGTAGTCCTGGGGTTCAGATTCTTTGTCTGGTACTTTCCAGCACCTTATGTGCATCATTAGATGTAGTCTTCACGACGACTTTATAAGGAGGGCACTTGAACCTTGTTAATAGATAAAAATGGATAAAGGGAGAGGATTAGTAACACTCCCAGGTCGCAGAGCTAGTTAGTGATGGAGCGGGAGCTCTTCTTGGTCTGCACTTGTCCAGAGTCTGTGTTCAGCCCCATGTGCTCCCAAGTGGGGAGTGCGCAGCCTTGCCCCTGTCCGGGCCCCTCAGGGCTGATGCAGGAGTCCATGTGCCGTGAGAGTAGGGGTATGCTACTGCAGTCCATGCCTGTTGCTCCTGTGGATGTGACTCCTTTGTGAGCCCCCAACCCCTGGCAAGCTGGGAGAAAGCAGCCACGGAGTTTTGCCTCCCTCATTGACTTTTGATGTCCTCACAGGGCTTTTTTTTTTTTAATCTCTTCAGCCTCCACATGCTCAGACCTGGTCCCCGGTCCTGACCATGGCCTCTAGGGTCAGGACTGAATAAGGAAGGAGATTCAGGGTGGGGACCAGGGGTCGGAGACGGGTCGTTGGTAAGGCAAGGGGTGCCCAGAGTCAGGACCAGATCCCAGGCTGTGACATGGGGCTCTGCCCCGTGGTGGAGCTGAAGGCTGGGTGCAGGCAGCAGAAAGGACGCTACACATGCACACAAGAGGGTGGGGACTGGGTGGCACAGGGAGCCTTTGGCCTGAGTTGTGGCTGGTGATGCCACTGTGGGAGCATGGGCCCCCTCCAGCCCAATGTCCACGAAGCACTTTTTTCTGTGGTTAGGAGAGGCTCAAAACCATCTTCCCAGGGCCTGGAGAGCTAAGAACTCATGTCTGCAGTCTGAGGCCTACTTCTCAGACCTGTAAACCCTCTGACAGGACAGGGTGGGCCCCCTGGCAGCTCGCTGGCCCTGTGAAGGGCAAGGCTGGGCAGTGGGGCTCCAGACTCTGGTTCCTCACATCAGGGCAGGCTTCATACTTAGAATGCAGAGAAGAGAGGAGCCAAGGGTTGCAGCTGCCCTGGGAATCACGACGGTCCCATCGGGCAGGTGGTGCCAGCCCTAATGTGCACCTTTGCTTTCTGTCTGCAGAGGGACAGCTGCCCTTTGGGTTCCCCTCCATCGACATGGGGCCTCAGCTGAAGGTGGTGGAGAAGGCCCGCACGGCCACCATGCTGTGCGCAGCAGGCGGGAATCCAGACCCTGAGATCTCTTGGTTCAAGGACTTCCTCCCTGTGGACCCCGCCGCAAGCAACGGCCGCATCAAGCAACTGCGTTCAGGTGAGCAGAGGGCAAGGGTCGAGGGGCCGCGCAGACTTCGGGAAAGGCGCTGGGCCGGACCCAGTGCGTCCTTCTTGGGCCTGGGAGCTGTGGGAGGCCTCGGCCTGGGTTGACCTTCCAGGGCTGATCAGAGGGCACCTGGCGGGTGCACCAGATACTGCTGTAGGCCCACCTGACGTGCCCAGGAAGAGAGCTTGGCAGCGAATCATATGCAATTCTCTCACCTTCCCGGGACTGTCCAACTCCAGACTTTAGTCCACCTCTGCGCCTGGAGGCACGAGTGTCTTTCCCAGCCTGTGTTGGGCTCTGTGAAGGTGCTCTGTGGGCATTCATCCTCCGCCTTCCCTGGAGCCCAGCCTGAGAGGGGGCCTGGATGGTGTTTCTGTGTGCTTCTCTGGACGGCAGGGAAAAATGCCAAAGATGTCTGGTTCATCAGGCTTCCAAAGGCTGGACCTCAGAGGCTTGCAGCCCGGGTGATGTTCAGCCATCCTTTGGCCACCAGGGCCACCTATCTCCTCTGGATGTCTCAGTCGAGCCAGCTTGGAGCCCTGCGAGCAAGGATGCTGCCTTGAAACCAGGCGGGAGGTGTCGCCCCGTCGATCGATCTGCCTGCGAGGCTCCCGCCAGGATAATTGATTCCGTTTTTGTGGGAAGGGAGCCTTGGAATCAGCTTGGCTGCAGCTCTGCGTCTGCCGCCAGTGCGGGCTGGGCTGGTCAACCTCAGTCCAGGAGCCCTCCTGCTAGCTGTGGGATGGTGGGCTCGGGCTGGATGACCAGCACCAACCATACCCATCAGCTGTGGTGTCACCTCCGCAAAGGAGGTCATGACCCTGCCCCTCTCAGGGCCTTGCCGGCTACCAAGGTGTCCTGCCACTCCCTGGGGTGCCAGCCCCTTCACATCAGCTCCAGCCGGGTGGGTGCCCTCATGATGCCCAGGGGAGGAGGAAGGGATGAGCCACCCAGCAGGGGCAGGATTCTGGTCCCAGCAGCGGCCGCCTGAGACAGCCTATGAAGCGTTAGCTCATTTAATTTAATTAAAACTCAACAAGATGGAGGCAGCTGTAGTGCAGTTAATTAAAACAGCCATAATCAAGGCAGAAAACAGGCCGCCAGCGTTCGCGGCCGCTGCCCAGCGTGGCACAGCGGCCGCCACGGTTCGGCTCCTCTGCGTGTCCCCGCAGCCCCCAGGCAGGCTCCCCAAGCAGCCAGATGGTCCTCCCTGCAGGCCTGGCCTGCACCCGGCATGGCAACGTCTGTGGCAGCAGTTCCGGGAAGGCACGCCGTCTCGCGTGTTCCGTTCGTTAAGTATTTATGTGGCGCCTGCTGTGTGCCGGGCCCGGTGCCACCCATTCACGGCTCTATGAGTCGGCTCCCGCACGGAATGCTGCTCACTGGCCTCCTCGGCCTCTCAGCAGCCA